TTTAAAGAAGGAAAGGACGAGCAAACTTCGATACGGAAAATATTCAAAAAGAGTCCGACGTGACTTATTCCCATACGGTACAAAAATAAATTATGTATACAAAAAAGCTAACCTTACTTAATGGAAAGCATGTTTGTAATTCCTTTTATTATGAGATATGTAATGGGAATTTTATCGGGATTCTCAGCTAATCGCATCCCCACAGCGACGGGTCAACCGTCGAGTTCTCCCGGGATGAATTCCCAATGTCATGTTGATTTGAAAATGAAAATGGATGAATTTGAAACTTTTCAATAATCTTTCTTCCCCCAAAAACACTGGATGATTTCAAGAGGTTTATTAAATGGTTTCCCTTATTCATTCACTCATTTAAAGTTGTTCCTTTTTACCATCGTAGATTCAGAGGTATTTAATTTTTGTCATTTTTTCTCTCTATAAAAAAATTTAACTTTTCCTTAACTTTTGAAAAAAATCTTGCTAGGGCTTTCATATTTCATGTTCTTTGCAACAAGACCTATCTTTGTCTACCAACATAATAGTATTTGACCTTGACCTTGGAGTTTGCAAAATTTTATTAATCTTTAACCTCGGCCGTAACTTACATGGTTGATTCTAGGGCTTTCATATTTCATACAATTATTTTTTATGACTAAATCCTTACCTTGAGTACCAATATGTATTTTACCCCGACTTTGATAATCATGACCTTAATGTATGAACAATTTTGCTCGTGCTTTTATATTTTAAATAAATTTTACACTTCTGTGGCCTTCAACTCGACATTTCAATATTATATGGACAACGTATTATCTATTAAAGGGGTATGGACGTTTCAACTGATTTTTTAAAACCAATTTTAATGTTTACAATTCCTACCTAAGGCATCATCTATTGATTAGCAAAAATTTGAACATCATTTGTTGATTAACAAACAAGATACAGAACTTAAAGTTCTTCATAATGTAAACAAGGCTCGTGCCTTGTTTTTGTTTACATACAGCTTTGTTTTTGTTTACATACAGAAAATAAAATTTATAACAAAATGAAATTCAGCAAATCAATAGTAACTGTCAAATCGTACTTAAAATTAATCTTTTTTTAAATTATCTACTTTGAACGATATATATATATTAATATATTAAACTGTGTAAACAAAAACATGACACGGGCCCTATTTACATAACCAAGGTTTGGAGCTCTAAATCTGTCGTGTATCTCGACAACTGACGTTCAGATTTTTGATGATCACTACAAAGACCCTAGTTTAATATTTGTAACCAGAAGTCTCTGTCGAGACTGTAGCTCTACTGGTTTGTACTTATAACAAAGGATGAGAAAAGAAGCCATTGCCATCAGACCAAAACTGTAGAAGGAGTAGCGTTTTAAACAAAATTCAAAGACATTTCTATTCTTAGTAACAATGGCAACACTGTTCATCGAAATCAAAAACCGATGCACTATTTTATGTATCTTAGTGTAGTCTATTTGTATGCCAAGTTACATTGAAATCAGATCAAAACTGTAGGAGGAGTAGCATTTTAAAGAATTTTCACAGAAAATTCTATTTTTAGTAACCATGGTAACACCGTTCATCGAAATCGAAAACCGATGCACTATTTTATGTATCTTAGTGTAGTCTACTTGTGTGCCAAGTAATATTGAAATCAGACCAAAACTGAAGAAGGAGTAGCGATTTAAATGAATTTCACAGAAATTCTATTTTTCGTAACCATGGCAACACCGTTCATCGAAATCAAAAACCAATGCACTATTTTATGTATCTTAGTGTAGTCTACTTTTTGCACCAAGTAATACTGAAATCAGACCAAAACTGAAGAAGGAGTAGTGTTTTAAAGGAATTTCACAGAAAATTCTATTTTTAGTAACCATGGCAACACCGTTCATCGAAATCAAAAACCGATGCACTATTTTATGTATCTTAGTGTAGTCTACTTGTGTGCCAAGTTACATTGAAATCAGATCAAAACTGTAGGAGGAGTAGCGTTTTAAAGGAATTTCACAGAAAATTCTATTTTTAGTAACCATGGCAATACCGTTCATCGAAATCAAAAACCGATGCACTATTTTATGTATCTTAGTGTAGTCTACTTGTGTACCAAGTTATATTGAAATCAGACCAAAACTTTAGGAGGAGTAGCGTTTTGAAAAATTGTTTACAGACAGACGGACAGACAGACAGACGGACGGACGACGGACACCTTACTATCGCATAAGCTCTTCTGGTCTCCGACAAGTAGAGCTAAAAATGGGAAAATAAATTTTTGAAATTTTAGCTGAAACTGTGTCCATGCCCCTTTAACAATACTTCGTTACTTTAATTCATATGTCGACTCGACATATCCCAGTGAGCTTAAAGTAAAGGATATGATAAAGTCTTGACACATCTTTTTCCATATTTTAATTTGTTACTAGAAAAGACGTTAATGGTAACCAAACAACAATGCTTTATGATAAACTTGATGACTTCGACCTTACAATCTTCAAACAGAGCGGTTGTGAACAGTCGGTAGGGGATTGTTAATTTCTCCGTGGTACCTGGTCCCACCTCTGATATTTTATGGAGTGGAGGTCCGTGTTTGCTCTCCTCCCGATCAGTATTGTTTAAATGGATTTTGAGCTTGAATACTGTTCGTTTTCATCATATTACATATTGAACAATACCTTTTTTGGGGGGTTCAAACATTTGTGTGATCTAATGACCTTGAAATTTGGCCTACATTTTAAAATACTTAGACATGGTCATCAGGAACATTACGGCGACATCAGTGTTTTACAAACAAAACTTGTTTTATTTATCAAAAAATTGCTTGAATTATCAACTTTTTTGTCAAAAATTTGATTTGTTCAAGAAATAGCTCTTGCATATCGAATCAACTGGGAGATTTAAATCCAATATTCAGGTGATATAGGCATACTGTTACACAAAAAAGGAAAGTTCTTCCAAGCCATCACGTTCATGATAAAGTTTGTCGTTAGATAACCATTAACGTCTCTTCCATGCCAAATATCCAAATATAAAAGGGATGCGTTATTCCCTATGGCACGAAAGCTTTCTGAAACTTCTTATTTGATTAGTTCAGTTATCATTGCTATCATAACTAAAATTAAAAACCTTATATTTTTTCAAGAGGAACATTAATAATGACCTCCCTTTTAGCCCTGTGAAGATCCCTCCTCTAAATTTTTGATGTTAGGAAATAAATCATGCTAATACTAGATAATACTTTATCCCGCGTTTCTTCATTGCTCTTCATTGCGCCTATGAAAAATTCAACTCAGTTGATTACTAATCCGATTATTTAGGCAAGATTTGTTTGTTAGGTTACAGGCCACCATTTTCAATCCTTTCCGAAGAAAATTTTGTATTGCATTTTGAATGTAAGAAAGGTGCTTGTTTGCATTGTTTCATCAATCCGTAAATGATTACAGTCTTTGAAGGGCTTACCAAGTTATTTTAGGGAAAGACAAATTAAAGTACACGCACTCGTCTCAGACGCAATTAGTACAGCATGGAATGATCTTAATTGTGACCCTATGACTTATCTACCTCCATAACAGTGAAGATTACATTTGCTCAATTTTTTATTTAACGTGATAGTTTCTATTATCTACAGATTTTCTTCTGTTTCGAGGAATTCTCATTAATTGCTTATAATAATACACACAAGCAGCATCAAAGCATCAAACAATCAGCAAAATCATCTGGGTTCATGACCCTCTTGTATCTTTATTCAATCAAGGTCAAGATATTAGCGTCTATATTTGTCTAACACTGACCTTAAGATAAATCTAAGATCTCATTAATTATAAACACAAATACAATAACATTTCTTTCAGCATGCATAAAAATAGATCGATTTGGAGTTTCACATAAATTCAAGATATACTATCGGTTTGAACGTCATCTCATCGACGTTCAAAAGAATCTTCAGGGCTCGAAATATGAAAAGATGGTAATAAATCCTTCTTTAAATCAAATGTGAAAATCATGTAAAACGGGCTTTAATTCATCCAGACATCTCCTAATCTCCGCTGTATGAGCTCTTGTGAGGTGGCAGCTTCAGTAATGTCGTGGCTGCGGCTATTAGGAGAATTAGACCCTGCAGGGCAATGAAAACAATTACCGAACACCGATTTTACCATCGTCTTAATGACTGTCGGAGAAAAATATTATCGCTATTTACAAAATTACAAGTGAATTTTTTTTAGCTCTTCGTATTATGCAGGATCTTTGAAATTCTTTCTTTTTTGTGAACTTTGAAATTTAAAACAAATATTCTCTCATAATTAAGTTTTCCAATTGAGTCGAGTAAATCTATTAGGAGGAAAATCAAATAAAAATGGAGACTGCAGTATCTAATGTATTTTTGAAGACAATCGAGGCTGCAAATCAAGGCTGACTTCCATTAGTCCCACTTTACTTCTTTGATAGGGTAATTAGTTTTATCAGGGTAATTACAGCAAAAGACTCGAAATTAGTGACCAAAAATTGAAGTACTAAACTTGATACCAAAATTCATGATTCAGCGGACATGCGCGAAGGTTTCTTTTGATGATATCAGGGATTTGAAGGAAAAATGCATTGCGATAGAAATAATCTACTTCAGAAAAAAATGGTCCTTTTAAAAAATCTAGGTGAGCTGTAAATAGGGTTAATTAGTGCACAAAGGTATTCCTTCAGCAAAGACATCGTAGAAGTGTGGATTCATCAAGTTCTTTTAAAACATCGCTGATTGAAAATGAAACGGCAGGTGTTTGAAGAGTAGTTGTCAAATGATGACTGTTCGATGCAAAAGAGATCTTTACCAGTGAGGAGTGGTCCGTTTCTAGGGCTGTGCAATAATATCGATATTCCGGTATATTGCGATACGTTGATAAAAAATATCGTATCGCGATACGTTTTTCCAGTACCGGTATACCGGCAAAAAGGTTCGGGTTCGGAATTAAGTTGCGGGCTCGAGATGCATTAAATTAAATACGAAGAAAAATGTCAGAAACGTTTGATGACTTGTTCGCGATCGTGCCAAACACCAAGGCAAAAGCAGATGCATGGATGCACTTTGGCTTTAAAAAGAATAAGACAACAAGCGAGATCGACAAATCCGTTGCAGTTTGCAAGGTGTGTCATGCAGAGGTAAAATACGCCGGGGGGACAACGAATCTCCTTCACCACATGCGAAGGAAACATCCAGCCATTTCCTTAACGAGTGAGCCAGTGCCATTGAAAAAACCAAAAATAAAAACTGAAAAAGATGGAAACAACAATTTTGCACAGCCAAGGTTAGATCACGTTATAACAGGAAACATAAAGTATCCCCCCAAATCTGTGAAAGCCCTTGCCATCACTGACAAAATAAGCAGATTAATTATTAAAGACCTGAGGCCATACAGCATGGTTGAATCAAGTGAATTTAGAGATCTTGTTAACACGTTGGATCCTCGCTACATTGTACCGAACAGAAAAACCTTTTCAGAAGTTGCAATCCCAAACCTCTACAGAGAGTGTAAAGCAGATGTTACACAGAAATTATCTTGTGCTGAAATGGTAATCTTTGTTTATTTCAGTTTACAAAAAAAAATATTATGATAATAATATTTATGAAATTAAAATTTGATAATGGAGTCCACTTGTAAGAAATTTAACAAAATAAAAAAAAATAAAATAAATAATCTGAAAGTAAATGTTATGTTTTTTTTTTAATCATCAGGTTGCTCTGACTACAGATGGATGGACCTCTCGTGGTACAGATTCCTACATAACAATAACAGCATGCTTTATAGATGGGGATTGGAACCTGATCAACAATGTGTTACAAACTAGAGCAATGCCTGAAAATCATACTGCAGAAAATATTGCCAATGTTCTAAAAGCTGCAATTACAGAATGGAATCTGCCTAGCCCACCTGTACCCCCAATTGTATCTGACAATGCAAAAAATATGGTGAAAGCAGCAGAACTTTTAGAGACTAGTTTCTATTTAGGATGTTTTGCACACACTCTAAATCTTGCTGCTCAAAAAGCCTTACAAGTGCCAAGCGTGAATAATCTGTTGACAAAGGTTAGAAAAATAGTTGCATTCTTTCACAGGAGCACAATTGGTGCTACTGCACTGAAAACCCAGACAGATTTACTAGGTTTACCAAATCATAAACTGATTATGGACGTTGTAACAAGATGGAACAGTGCATATGACATGTTCACAAGGTATCTGGAGTTGCAAGTTGCTGTTACTGCTGTTATTAGAAACAAAAATCTAGGCACCTCTACAGATAAAACCCTTAAAGACCTTAGAACTCTGACTGATGATGATGTTTCAATGGCAGAAGAAGTTGTAAGGTGCTTACGTCCACTCAAATCAATCACGACAGCATTGTGCACTGAATCCATTCCAACAATCTCTGTCATATTACCATTACATGACCAGCTATGCAATAATTTTTTGCAACCAAAAGAAGAGGACACACCCTGTGCAAAGAATGTGAAGAAGGCAGTACTCAATGATCTAACAAACAGATATTCCAAACAACAGGATGATTTAGCTGTTGCCAGTGCTCTTGACCCAAGATTTAAGAGCCTGCCATTTTTGAGTGCTGATGAGAAAGAAAACTGCTTTCAGAATATCATCAATAGGATGAAAAATGTTAATACTGTCCAGGTTAAAGTTGAGCCTCAGAATGAAAACTGTCAATCACAACTACCACCTTTGCCACAAATGCCTGAATCTAGTGGTGCAAGTCAATTATCAACCAGTCTCACCGAAGCTGAAGAAAAAGAGAGTGATGAAAAGTTACTGAGTGATAAACCTACAGATACAAAAAGTGGTTTTGCAGATTTCTTAGGAGATGTTTACATAACTGCTGTAGACAAGGCACCAACCCCTGATGAGAAAGCAAGACAAGAAGTAGAGAAATACAGACACATGCCATCAGTGGCCGTATCCTCCAATCCACTGGTCTGGTGGAAGGAAAATGCAAAAAATTTTCCTGTTCTAAGTGTAATAGCCAAGCAGTATCTCTGTATTCCTGCTACCTCTGTGCCATCTGAAAGGGTTTTTTCAACTGCAGGGGATATTGTGACAGCTCAAAGAGCTTCACTTAAGCCAAAACATGTTGACATGCTCATATTCTTGAAAAAGAATTTGAAGTGAGCTGAATGTACTGACTCACATTATCTCCTGCAGTTCATTTTTTTGTTGAAAAATCACCCACCATTTATCAAAGAATAATAAGAAAATGCAGGTTACTTTGAATATTTTTATTTCACCTTCCACCAGATCAGTGGAGTGAAGCACACAACTGACATTAACTGTGACAAGTTTCAAATTACTTTTGCTAGATGCATAATCATCTTCATTGTTATATCTGCAATTAAAACTGTAATCAAATCAAGAAGAACTTTCTTTTTTTTATTTAAGTTATTTCTGAACATTATTTGAATTTTGTACATGGTTTAAAGTTTGAAAATTTTTTTTAAAAAGTGTTAAAATTAATAAAATATTTTATTGAAAATATCGCAATACATATCGCAATACAGTTCAAAATATCGCAATATATCGCAATACGAAATTTCCAGGCAATACCCAGCCCTATCCGTTTCGCATACATGTGCGTTTTAAGAATAGATAAAAAAAAAAGGTTCTCAGAGAGGAGATCGACATAAAAACAGAGATAACTCCTCTTAAATTTACTCTACTTAGATAATAACACCGACAGTATTCATAGTAAAAAAAAAACAGAAGTCTTTGTCGAGACTGTATTTCTCACTGTTTGTACTAATAACAAAGGGAGAGAAAAGTAGCAGTGTAATTGAATCTTTGCAACAGTAATACATAGAATAATGATCCTTGATTTAGTTTTTTATGGGAAGATTGCAATCAGACTAATACTGTAGGAGTAGCATTTTCAAATACGCTTAAAGAAATATCTAATTTTAGTAACCATGGCAAAAGCGTTCATCTAAAACTGCTAAATAGAATCATACCGGGTATATAATGATTTAGTCTACTTGCATGCCAAGTTATACTCAGATCTAAGCAAAACTGTAGGAGGAATAGCATTTGAAACGTTTTTTCAAAGAAACTTCTGTTACACTAGACATCGAAATCTAAAACTTTTATACGGAGTTACTAGTGTCTTACGTTATATCGAAACAGACCAAAACTGATTAAGGACGCTCTAAACACTGCACACTAAAGAGCTCTATTTATTGGGTAGTTTTATGCAGTTAGAGTGATCTGCCCTTAGATGTAAGATTCAAGAAATTGTTATTTACCGTTAATTACATAATTTATAATAGATTAGAATATTTTTAGCATTATATATAAGACCAAGAGTAAGACATTTAATTAATTATTTTCATTAATATTTCCAATGTAAGTAAACGACAATGATTTCTACTCACAAATAATTCTTTGTCCTTGAACATTTTTCCTGCACAAATAAGGCACATACCCTAATGAAAAAGTTTCAATATGCATATCTATATATGATATGTTTTTTCAGAGTCCAAAAAACAGTTTCTGTTGTGTTTAGAGCTTCCTTAAGGAGGAGTAGCGCTTCAAAGTGTTTCACAGAAATTTCTATTTTTAGTAACCACAGCAACGCCATTCATCGAAATACAGAATTATGCATTTAAGTGCAGTCTACTCGTTAGCTGCAATATGTAGCCCTCTGCCCATTTCTTTCTGTTTTTTAGGGGGGGGGGAGTTACAACTCCTTAGGATCTCCGTAATGGTGTAAATGTGGGAGTAATTCACTCCCGCACAGAATCCGTTAATGGCTATTTTATTAACGTTTCTAACCTGACCTCAAAAATCTAGTTATACAAGACATAAATCAATCCAAAAAATACAAAGAACAACATATCGTTTATTTTTCATGTACATGTATGTCAACATCACAACTTGAATTTATCCACCATGTTTACTGACCTAAAACTGTAGGAAGAGTAGCATTTTGAAAATATAATGTTGACAGACAGACGGATGGACGAAAGACACTTTACTATCACATAAGCTCTTATGGTCTCTTACTAATAGAGCTTAAAAACGTATGATCATAATTAAGTTGATGAGATTATTATTACTTTTGGAAACATAACTATAACACACTAACATTCACTTCATCCATATAAAACAATGTATGAAACGGGAGGGACTGGCCATTTTGAATAAAAGTAAAAGGAGTTGAAACCCAACCCCCTCTCAACCAATAGGGTTTTCGAGTTTTAACAATTTTTCTCTTTAGCTTGTCATTTTTTTCCCGATATTTGTCTCATACATTTGTTTTGTCTGGCCTCTTTTAAAAACAATACTACGTGCCTGAATAAAAACCAAACTTGGAGCAGATCAAAATCAGTTTGTTAATTAATTAGAATTCGTATCATGGATTTTTGTTACGAAGATAGTGGTCCTTGCTCCGTATAATGTTTGTTCTTTTTTTTTTCACATTCACGTATGTTCACTGTCTAATAGCAGAATCGTATTATTTGCATCATGAACTTTTTAAACAAACATTTCTTATTTATTTTCAGCTGTCTCTGTGGGTGTGAGTTGTTTTACTATCGTCACGATTTCTCTGGAAAGATACTTCGCCATTGTTGAACCACTCCGATCTCGTCGTTGGCAGACTCGATCCCACTCCTATAAGTGCATTCTTGGAATATGGCTTCTGGCCTTGACCTTGATGATACCAATTGCCGCCTCACAGAAACTTATACAAATTGGAAACAAAGACCGCCATGCTTGTCGCGAAATTTGGCCAAAACATATGAGGACTATTGAAATTGTGTACGGTGTTTCCTTATGTGCGATCTTGTTTATCATCCCTTTATTCATTATGGCGCTGGTTTATGGAAGAATTGCATTTAGATTGTGGGCAGATATCACTCAACAGGTCAATGACAATGCAGGTAGGTTTGCAAATTACAAGGAAAAGATGTATTAAAGAAAAGACCATGCATGCATAAATGGTAGCATTTACTAGTACTTGTATGGCCAAATAAAAAAGACGGATGCAGTGCTGATTTCCTTGTACCTGACCATGATTATTGAATATCAAGTCCATTCATAAGGAAATTTAATATTAGTTTCCTGTAATGAATACATCTGAATTGTCTTAAAAGTTCATTTAAAATGAATTTCTTAATATGCCAAACAATAAAATAATCAAGTTCGTTAATGTTTCAGACGGGACTGGTACGTCCAAGAAAGACGCGGATAACTCATCGGTGTCCTTGCCTCTTCGAGGAAATCAACAGAAAAATGGTGACCACGTAAGCTTACGTCATTCTAATCTACGTCACAGTATATCAAGCAGACGACGAGTCATTAAAATGTTGGTTGTGATTGTGCTCGAGTATTTTATCTGTTGGACACCGCTGTACGTCTGCAGCACTTGGAAGATCATTCACTACGAATCCATTCACAGTCGCGTGTCGAATCTTGCCTGGTCGCTGATGCTTCTTCTGGCCTATGTGTCCTCGTTTGTTCATCCTGTAACCTATTGTTTTATGAACAAGAACTTCAGGAAAGGATTTGTATCAGTTTTCAAGTGTTTTTTACAGAACCGTCTAACGACCAACACTGAGATGAGTAACTTGACAGCCACTTCGTCCCCCACCGTTCGATTCCACTCAACGGAGTACACAAAAGTTCAGTCTATAGACTAGTGTCATCATTATGATAAAAAAAAATCCTGTCTACAGACAATAGAGCGTCCATTCTATATATTACTAGATATCATCATCGAATTTATCCTGGGTCAAGACTGTAATGATAACTGAAAATCTACTTAAAACTAAAATAGAGCAAGTAGTTAGATAAAGAGATGAAAATTGACAAGAGTAGTCAGTAATTTTTTTTTGACAAGTACAGTTGTTATCGACCGTCGTTTAGAAACGAACTTTACTGATTAATGGCTTTTCTAAACATTAAATTGTAAGGAAAAGGATATATTTTCTAAAAATAGCCTGAAAAAATAAGAAAATTGAACAGTGTATGGTTAAACAAAGCTGCACATGTACCAAAACCAAGAAGGGCTGATGCAAAGGTTCGGTGTCTGTGTATTATCTTCCCCCAAATTACTACATCTCCAACAACTGAGGAGCACACATGGACAAAATTTGCTTATGTTTTATCGATGTTTTGATTCGACACTATTATTTTGCAGACTACTAAAAAGAAATTTTGTGAAATTATTTCCATACGCAAACCTTTTTAACAAGTTTTGTCTATGGTAAAGTCAACTGCAACTAAAAGTAGAATTTCATGGAAATTCCTTCTCATTCTGCAGTTTTGATAGAAATTTGGCATTCAAGAGAATTTATCTCGTCTCGTAACATCCATTTAAAAAAAGAGTCAAGATGGCAGGAAAGTAGCTGTAGTCACATGTATTAGCTCGCCGTTTGGAAAATAATAAGATGGACGACCAGAGACATGATGTAGAGCAAAACCATTTGATAAACAAGAAGCCAATGGGCCACATCGCTCATCTGAGAACAATGGCAGGAAAAAGTGCATATCAGTTCAGTATTGAGAAGTTTACAGGGGGGGGGGGGGGGGGGGGGCTTGAATCTACACTACCTGAGGCACTACCCAACCACAACCCATGTGCACTACTATCCCTTCCAAATAATGATTAATAGACCAAGTTAATTAAACCAGTGGTCAGATATCTACTTCTAACTTTTTAGATGGCTAGAGAGCTTTTGTAAGATAAGCTTAATATGTAATTGATAAAATCATGAACTGTATGTATCATACTTTTCAGTACTTCGATTATTTTGCCCTATTAATTCTTTAAAAAAGTTGTCCGGATTTACGAGGTTTCACTGTAGGTTGTTCATAATGAAAAAAAAAAAAAAAGAATGAGATTTTATTAAATGAGTAAAATGGCATCTCGTGAGAGACATCTGGCATATGATCCCATGTTAACGAGTCCATATTACTTTCATGTATTAATATTGTACCACGATTGAACCCAATTTCTGAGATCAGTCGTCTTTACTGAATATTATCAGGCAGATATAAAAATGCTAATTTACCTTAAAGAAACTGTTAGTAGTATTATGATCCATGTTTGTACATGTAGTTTTAATTGTTGTTACTAAGAGTTTATAATTAAAAAGGAAAATTTGATCACGTAGTTTGTTTTCTTTCTTTAAAGAAAATTAAAAGTAAAAGGTTTTAGTAGGTTTGTAACTGTTTTTATTAAAGCATCAAGTTTTTTAGGTAAACACAGGTGACCTATTGCTATCCGTTTTCGTCCGTCGTGCGTTTACATTTGAACATTTTCAGCTTCTTCTCTGAAACCACTTAAACCAATTTCAACCAATTTTGGCATATAGCACCTATGGGTGAAGAGGAATAAAAATTGTGAATTTCATGGTCCCTGTCCCCCTGGGCCGGGGGGGGGGGCAAAACCACTAAAATTAGTGCAATCTTTAAAAATCTTCTTTACTCCTGGACATCAAGCAGTCAAACTGTTGTCATGATTGTTATCTGCATTGAGTCTACCAAAATTGTGAAATTCATGGCCCCAGGGCTAGGGGTTCTAGTGCTAGGGCGGGCTATATTGATTAATAGTATATAGTGAAAATGCATTATTTCTTTGAAAATGTTCTTTGCTCCTGAGTATTAAATAAACTAACCAAATACATAGTTATGATGAGCAAGAGTGCCTCTTCTAAAATTGTGAATTTTAGGGCTCCTGGGTCAGGGGTTCTGGTGTTAGGGCGGGGCTCTATTGATTATGTAGTGAAAATGCATTAATTCTTTGCAAGTCTTCTTCTTTGCTTCTGGGTATTAAATAAACTAACTTAGTACATAGTTGTGATGAGCAAGAGTGCCTCCTCTAAAATTGTGTATTTTATGGCCCCAGGGTTAGGGATTCTGGTGTTAGGGCGGGCTCTATTGATTATAAAGTGAAAATGCATTAATTATTTGAAAATCTTCTCTGCTTCTGAGTATTGATTAAACTAACCAAATACATAGTAATGATGGGCAAGATTGCCTCTTTTAAAATTTTGAATTTTATGGTCCCAGGGTCAGGGGGTCTGGTGTAAGGGCGGGGCTCTATTGATTATATAGTGAAAAAGCATTAATTCTTTGAAAGTCTTCTTCTTTGCTTCTGGGTATTAAATACTGTAAAATCACATATTTTCGTGGGGTCAAATTTTCGTGGTTTGAGTAAAAACTCTTGGTTTGTGGGGATTTGAATTCGTGGATGAAGAATTGCTTAGTAGTTATATATGTAACATTTTACATTAGTGGTTGACATAAATTCGTGGGTCTCTTCATACCTTGAAAACAACGAAAATTAAACCCCCACGAAAATTTGTGATTTCACAGTAAACTAAGTACATAGTTATGATGAACAAGAGTGCCTGTACCAAAATTGTGAATTTCATGGCCCCAAGATCAGGGGTTCTGGTGTTAGGGCGGGGCTCTGTAATGATTATATAGTGAAAATACATTAATTCTTTGAAAATCTTCTCTGCTCCTGGGTAATAAGCAGATGAACTATCTATATAGTTATGATGTGCAAGGGTTCTTCTTCCAGAATTGTGAATTTCCAGGCCCTAGGGTTAGGGATACGATGGGGGGGGGGGGGGGCTCGACTTATATAATGAAAATTAATTTTTTGAAATCTGCTCCTTGGTATTAATCAAACATTTCTGATAAGCAAGTGTGCCTTTTCAAAAATTGTGCAATGTGTGGATCTAGAGTCAGGGGTTCATGTTTGGTAGGGGCACTTCTGATTATTGCTGTATATTACTGATTAGTTGATAAGCATTTTTTGTTCCCGTACCCTGCCTAACGGTATTAAGAAGGCTTGGGGTCAACAAATTAACAACAGATTTACCACCAGATATAACTTAATTTTTTTAGATGTGACATCTTTAGCTGTCAGCTATCATTTGACAAATGAATATTTCATACATATTAGTTTTAAAATTTGATTATTTTTGTATATTTTTATATGGAGCTCTTCTTCTAAAGGAGATCGAAATAGTCTAAGAATGGCCACGACCACCAAGCCCCTTTAAGTAACCAAACTAAGCAATTGCTAAGTTCATAGTTATGATTAGCAATGGTGCCAGCCTATTTCAACCATAGCCATAGCATCTACCTTAAAACATGAACCAAATTCTATCATTTGAAAGTTGTTGTATGATTCTCAGGTGACCTGTAATGCCCATTAAATTTTCACCCAAAGAAAACCACTGTCAACCGAGTCGGCGCCAATTAAATTTTAAGGTCAGCTGACGTATTGCTATCCGTTTTCGTCCGTTGACGTGAGTTGTGTGTTAACATTTGAACATTTTCAGCTTCTTCTCTGAAACCACTTAAACCAATTTCAACCAATTTCAACCAAATTTGGCTTAAAGCATCTATGGGTAAAGGGGAACAAAAATTATGAATTTCATGGTCCCTGCCCCCCTGGGACCTGAAGGGTGGGGCAAAAACCACTAAAATTAGTGCAATCGTTAAAAACCTTTTTCTTTACTCCTGGACATCAAGCAGTCAAACTGATGGCATGATTGTAATCAGCATTGAGTCCTCTAAAAAAAAAATTATGAAATTCATGGCCCTGGGGTCAGGAGTTCTATATTGCTAGGGCGGGGCTAAATATATTATACACATGCTGTGAAAATGAATAAATTCTTTGAAAATCTTCTCTGCTCCTGGGCATTAAATAAACTAAATACGTATATAGTTATGTTTAATAAGGCTGCATCTACCAAAAAGGTGAATTTCATGACCCTGGGGTCAGGGGTTCTGAGGTGCTAGGGTGGGGCTCTATTGATTACATAGTGAAATTGCATAAATTCTTTAAAAATCTTCTCTGCTCCTGGGCATTAAATAAACTAACTAAGTATATAGTTATGTTGAATAAGACTGCCTCTTCCAAAATATCATGGCCCCTGGGTCAGGGGTTCTGGTGTTAGGGCGGGGCTTTATAGATTATAAAGTGAAATTGCATAAATTCTTTGAAAATCTTCTTCTCTGCTCCTGGGCATTAAATAAACTAACCATGTACATAGTTATGTTGAATAAGGCTGCCTCTTGCCAATTTGTGAATTTTAGGGCCCCTGGGTCAGGGGTTCTGGTGTTAGGGTGGGGCTATAATGATTGTATAGTGAAATGCATGAATTCTTTGAACATCTTTTCCTTTGCTCCTGGTTAATATGCCAATGATCTAATTACGTATTTAAGCCAGCATCTCTTTCTATTTTTAGGTTTGCAAACCCGCCGCTCAAGTTTTTGAATTTTCAAAAAAAAAAAAAAAAAATTCTTTCCGATATCAAATTTGAGTCGGGATCGAGATTTAAAATTTACGAGCTCGTACTTCCGGTTTTAAGATGAACATGGCGGGTAAACAGATCTGCAAAGTTCATAGCAGCAGTATAGCATGGTTTAGTGTAAATATTTATTGATAGGAGTGCCATTCAAAACGTTTCACCCGTTCAGAGGACATATAAAATGCTGACGACTTTGTTGCACAATGATATGCTGGTGAGATAATTATGTATTCGTATACAAAAGTATCTGTCTGTAAATTATTTTCCTCCCACAGGTTTAAAACTGCCCGTGGTAGCTACTGCTAGCGACATTGTTTAGGTCTCTGTTATAGCTTACAGTCTAAGCATCATTCTTCAGAAATGGATCGCTTAATTATGCATCAGATGTAATGAATAAAACTATGGGAAAAGTTAAGTCCATTTGAGGAAGATATAAACAATAGCCTAAAGAAATAAAAAAAAAAAATCAACTTTTAAAAAGCAAGTATATACAAATATAAACAGGCATCTAGTATCGTTTGTGACAGCCAGAAAAAATATTTTACACTTAATTGTAAAAATGTTCACCGTACTCCCCAATACACTCCCTATCTATTTTTTTGATTGGAAATATAATGTTAGGTATCAAGTAGATTTTATTTTTAGAACAATGTCTACACATTCACCTAACACATATTAATAAAAGAAGATGTATTGAAAGAGTTATAAAGAACTGATTTTTAAAAATATGTTTTGATCAACATCACAAAATTTATATCACTGGCTCAAACTGGCAGATGATGAAATAAACAAGTGTTCTACTTTTCTATTTGTAACCTTTATGTGTCAAGTGGCAAGGAGCCTGTTAGGATAGCATAAAAAAGAAGCAAAAATGAATGTACAAATGTCAATAATTACTGTAATTTATCCCCCCAAAAAATTGTTTTTCTTTTAATTTTCTCCTCCTCTGCGACTTTTAATTCTGATGTTCGTAACTAAATCTATAAATAAAAAAAAATACTGGCCTTATGATTAAGAAAGGTACCTTTATCAAAGTAGATAATTTCAAGGCCCTGGGTCAGGGGTACCGGGAGGGGGTTACTTTGTCTAAAAATAAATTTATGCTTTTAAATATGCTCTTTGATAAACAATGATGCCTCTTTTAAAATTGTGAATTTCATGGCTTTTGGATTAAAACACAAACCAAATAAATTCAGTTGCTGGAAAGTTGTGTTGCATGATACTCAGGTGACCT